AGCGGATATTTTATTATCTTTATTTGTCCCTACTCATGTCACTATTGCTCTTCAATTGGCATTCTCTTCTATATTCTGCACCTGAATATTGTTATGTTATATATGTGACTACTCCATAACCTGCAGGTTCCTTGGCACGTTCCATGTGGCGGTGTGTGCTACGGAGATGGAAATTTGGTGTTCATTGCCAATGATTGGCACACTGCACTCCTGCCTGTTTATCTGAAGGCATATTACAGAGACCGTGGGTTAATGCAGTACACTCGCTCCATTCTTGTCATACATAACATCGCTCACCAGGTCGTTTCCTTCTCCTAATCATGAATTTGCTGAGCCATTGCTATAGAAATTAAAATGGTTTAATTCGTGGCACATGGAAGGTTACTAAACAAGGCTCCTTATCTAGAAAATGAACAATAGCATGCACTGCTCTGTTGGTCAATTGTTTCTTTCAGATTTTCAGTCAAACATTGCTTTTGGTTGGTTCTCAACTAGAATTCACTATCCTGGGAATCAAAAAAAAGAGAGAAAGAATTCACTATCCTGCATCCTAACGGCTTCCCTCCTGTTTTCAGGGTCGTGGTCCTGTAGCTGAATTCCCGTACATGGACTTGCCTGAACACTACCTCCAACATTTCGAGCTGTACGATCCCGTCGGTGGTGAGCACGCCAACATCTTTGCCGCGGGTCTGAAGATGGCAGACCGGGTGGTCACGGTCAGCCGCGGCTACCTGTGGGAGCTGAAGACAGTGGAAGGCGGCTGGGGCCTCCACGACATCATCCGTTCCAACGACTGGAAGATCAATGGCATCGTGAACGGCATCGACCACCAGGAGTGGAACCCCAAGGTGGACGTGCACCTGCGGTCGGACGGCTACACCAACTACTCCCTCCAGACACTGGACGCCGGAAAGCGGCAGTGCAAGGCGGCCCTGCAGCGGGAGCTGGGCCTGGAAGTGCGCGACGACGTGCCGCTGCTCGGCTTCATCGGGCGCCTGGACGGACAGAAGGGCGTGGACATCATCGGGGACGCGATGCCGTGGATCGCGGGGCAGGACGTGCAGCTGGTGATGCTGGGCACCGGGCGCGCCGACCTGGAGCGGATGCTGCAGCACTTGGAGCGGGAGCATCCCAACAAGGTGCGCGGGTGGGTCGGGTTCTCGGTGCCCATGGCGCACCGCATCACCGCGGGCGCCGACGTGCTGGTGATGCCCTCCCGGTTCGAGCCCTGCGGGCTGAACCAGCTCTACGCCATGGCGTACGGCACCGTCCCCGTGGTGCACGCCGTGGGCGGGCTCAGGGACACCGTGGCGCCGTTCGACCCGTTCGGCGACGCCGGGCTCGGCTGGACTTTCGACCGCGCCGAGGCCAACAAGCTGATCGAGGCGCTCAGGCACTGCCTCGACACGTACCGGAACTACGGGGAGAGCTGGAAGAGTATCCAGGCGCGCGGCATGTCGCAGGACCTCAGCTGGGACCACGCGGCTGAGCTCTACGAGGACGTCCTAGTCAAGGCCAAGTACCAGTGGTGAACCCTCCGGCCTCCGCATCGATACGTCGAGCAACTTCTGGTCGTGTGGTTTTACAATCTTCGGTTTGATCCATTGTACATTGCGCAGTCGACGGTCTCGGTGAAGAACTTCGTATGCAGTGCCGCGCCGCTGGGGGTTGGTGCGTGGCCAGAGCCCAGAGGTGGCACCGGCAGCGTCTCGGGGAGAGACTGAGAGGTAGTAGTAGTAACATGTGCCTGTTTAATTTCTAAAATTTTGCAAAATATTTTAAGATTTCTTGTCACATCAAATCTTTAGACGTATGTATGAAGCATTAAATATAAATAAAAAATAAAACTAATTACACAGTTTAGACGAAATTCACGAAACAAATCTTTTAAGCCTAATTAAACTATGATTGAACAAATATTGTCAAATAACAAAAAAAAAAATGCTACAGTACTATTTTTCAAAAAAAAAAAACGCCAACTAAACCAGGCCTACGTGAATGTACTGAGCTGTGTGCGGTCGAGTTCCGACTGGATTCGTACTTTGTAGCGCAGTAGTGGAGGTTGTATTGAAGTATGCAATTTTAGTTTTTTCATTACTGATGCTTGAATGCCAACTCAATAAATGAAGCTACTATATATGTCCGTCGACAGAACCATGTTACTTATTTAGGTGATACTCCTTTGTCCTAAACACGGTACTGTCGACAGTGCCATGTTACTCCCTCCGTCTCACACTAGAGCTCGTTATACGATGCGCGCAAGTCAAACTTTCTCAACTTTGACTAGGTTCGTAGAAAATACGTGCAACATTTATATCACCAAAATAAGTTTATTATGAAAGTATATTCAACGATTTATCTAATTATACTAATTATGTATTATAAATATTAATATTTTTTATATATAATTGATCAAAGTAAAAAAAAAACCGACTTCCTAGAAAGTAAGAACGACTTCTATTTTGGGACAGAGAGAGTACTTCTCTAGATCTTCAATTGTTTAGATCCTGTGTTATTATAAACGCTAAACGGTAAACAGTCGGTCACTCTTTATTTAAATTTATGCCGTTTAAACAGTGTTAAACAGACCTAAACGGTTTTATTTAATAATAGTTAAATATACATATTTATGTATGTATATATAAAAATAAAATATGCTAGAAAAATATATATACATATATGCATGTAAAAAATATGTATTCCACCAAATAATTTTTTTGGAAGAAAATTAACCAAATTTCACTTCACCTCATATACTTAAGATGTTAATTAGTTAGCCGGTTCTCAAATCTTAAATCCAGTTTGGTTGCTCGTTTCCAAATGAGCAAACAATCTGCCACGCCACGCGCCATGAGCAGGTGTGCTCTCCTTCTCTATTTATTATCTTTTTTTATTTTCTACTTTTTTCATTTGCCTTTTTATTTTTTATACATTAACTATCTATTTTATAATAGTAGGATGCCTTTTTTTGCGCCAGTGCACATGTTTTTTTTTCTTTTTCACCCTTTCTCTCTCTTTTTTCGATCTAATTGAATCTTATAACCATAAATCTGCAAGAGTTATGATAAGAACTTATGGTGATAATTTGCCACGTAAAAAGTTATGACATAAGTTATGAGTATAACTTTGTAACTTTAAAAAAAAAAGGAAAGTCACAAAATTTTCATTTCTAAAAAGGAATGTAAAGAAGTTATGATGAGAAGTTGTGGTGATAAATTGTCCCGTAAAAGTTATGTACATAAGTTGTGAGCGTAACTTTATAATTTTCTAAAAATGAAAAGTTGTGGAAAAAAATTAAAAAAAAAGAAAAGTAAAAAAGTTATGATGATAAGTTGTTCTGTAAATAGTTATGCACACCAAAATTGAAAAGTTATGAAAATATTTTACAAAAATAAAGAAATATTTAAAAGTAAGGATAAAAAGTTATGATGACAATTTGTCACGTAAAATGTTATGCACACCAGTTATATGCATAACTTTGTAGCATTTCAAAAAAGAAGAAGAAGAAAAGGTACGAAAATGTCTTTTTCCAAAAGAGGAAAGTTACGGGGCTGTGGTATTGATCGCTGATTGTGAAATCAACGGTTGTCCGCTAATTAGTGGAGTCAGTGCCAAATATGGTAGTTGTAATCCTCCTATTGACTAAATAGTGAACTAAATGACCGTCTCACTCATTTGATCATGTTTAACTCAATTCTATCTAGACCATTTAGATGTTTTTAAACGGGTTTAAACGACTCAACCGTTTAATTCACTATTTATGATCTAAACGATAAGAGTGACCTTTGTTTACCGTTTAGAGTTTAGACCCACGGCTATTGTTTAAATGGGTTTAAACGACCGAACCGTTTAACCCACGGCTAATGTTTACTGCTGTCTCCGGACGTGCCCGCGGTTCTTTTGCCTGTATCCTTTTGAAAAAAACAAGTACCATTTCCGCTAAAAGCAGTCCCATCAGCTTGTACGTCATCGCATCGTGCAGGTGCATGCACGGGACGGAACGGACGCGTCCGTCCGGGTGAACTGTGCATCCTGCATCCGTGCGCGACCCAGGAGAGGTGTGGGGTGGTTGATTACTAGATTCGCGCCGCCTATCCTGTTGCTGAGGCACGAGAAACACGACGAGGGAGCAGCATCCAAAACTGGGGCAGAAAAAGCTCTGGGCATCCACCCATACTATTCGAGTATTCGTGGCCTGCCGGTCACGGTGTGGGCGCGCGGCCACGACGGCGACATTTCGTCCGGCGGCACCCAAGCCAACCACCACCAACAAACGAATCCCTGCACGTCCATCTCTACGACGTTCGCTCTTGCCTCTTGGCATTTCCTCCTCCCTTGGCCTTGGGTAGCTGTTACTGATGCCTGATGGGCCAATGAGACCTCGTTTAGTTCCACTTCATTTTACAAGATTTTTTAAGATTTTTCGTCACATCGAATCTTTGGACGCATATATGAAACATTAAATATAAATAAGAAATAAAACTAATTACACAGTTTAAACAAAATTCATGAGACGAATCTTTTAAGCCTAATTAAACTATGATTAGACACTAATTATCAAATAACAACGAAAATACTACCATACTATTTCGTCAAAAATTTTGCAAACTAAACCAGGCCTCGAGTCCAAAGCCTACCCGCCGCAAACAGGCGCTGGGCCCACGGACGGTACCCATACGGGACGCCGAGTACTCTGTAGGCCATTGGAACGTGATGCTCCTAGCGCAAGTGACAAGCTTGCGGTGTACTACTACGCAGCAGTGAGGTACAGAGGAGCTAGCCCTTAACACCTGAACTGTGGGGTCTGGTGTGCGTTGGCCCACATGTCAGAAATCAAAGCTGAGGTGTGGGCAAAAGCGGGCCTCCCGCACCGACGCGACCCGCGAAAAGCAACGTCCCCAAAAGCTGCAGCGCCCGCAGGCCGCAGCCACAGGGCAGAGGGCAGAGGGCAGAGGGCAGGCGAACGGGGACGCGGACGCGCGTGCGGGAAGGCGTGAACAATGGCCGGCGCCGCGGCGATGGCCTCCTTAGCCACGGTGGCGGAGGCGTGGCTCGACCTCGACCTCCACGGGTCGACGGCCCTGCTCCCGCGCCGGTTGTGGCCGTCGTCGTCGGGCGGCGGCGGCGCCGAGCTGTTCCCGTTCCCGCTGCTTGTCTGGCTGTGGCCGGCGTCGGGCGGCGAGGCGCTGCGGGCCGCGTGGGACGCGGCGCGCGCGGCGGCCGTGGCGCCGGCGCTGGACGCCGCGTCGTGGGTCTGCCTGGCCCTGTCGGCCATGCTCCTCGCGGACGCCGTGTTCCTGGCCGCCGCCAGCGCTCTGGCGCGGCGGAGGAGGCCGTACCGGGCGCCGGGCCCCATTATTGCTGGCCCCACCGCCGAGGAGGAGGACGGGGACGAGGAGGCTGGCCGCAGCGTCGGCTACCCCATGGTGCTGGTCCAAATCCCCATGTACAACGAGCGAGAGGTCCGTGTTCTCTCGCTGTACTTCGGGCACACCAACGCAATGCGATGTTGGGAACGGTGGTTTTATACGATTATATTTATTTATTATACGTGTAAAATACGTACCATTCCTTTTTTCCTTTTTTTTTGGGCGCGCAGGTGTACAAGCTATCCATTGGAGCAGCATGCGGGATGTCGTGGCCGTCGGATAGGGTCATCGTACAGGTTCTCGACGATTCCACTGATCCGACGGTTAAGGTAAAGCTTTCAATCTTCTTGCAGCCTTTGAATCCCATGAGTGAGATAATTTTAAGTTTAATCACTTTTTAAAAATACTAGCATTTATATACCAAATAAATATTATTATATTAATCATACAATATATTTTTATAGTGTAGTACAGATTTAGCGATTTAATACTTAATGTTGATACTATTTTTCCTATAAACCAAACTCAAGAAAAAACACTAACTAAGATACCAAATAAGGCCCTGTTCGCTTCTCTTATAATCTATCTTTTTTAGTTTGTTTTTTCAGTCGGAACAGTATTTTTCTCTCACAACAAATCAGCCGGAACAGTGTTTTGGTTTATTTTTTCAGCGAAGCGAACGGGGCCTAAATGTTATTTTTTTTTGAAACAAATATTATTATATTAATCATAAAATATACTCTATTTCGTAATAAATCTATTTAAAAACATTAATGTATATACAATTTCTATAAATTTACTAAAACTTAAAAAATTTAACTCATTCAAATCTAACATTACACTCTTTTATCGAGCTGAGTAAGTTTCAACGCATAGACTGAAGAATGACAATGTAGTAGACCTATAGCGACAGCATGATGGCCCCGTTCGCTTGTCTTAAAAATGGTCTGCATTAAACTTTCTTTTTTCAAATTTAATAGTGTTTTTTCTCTCACAACAATTCAAATTTAACAGTGTTTTTCAAATGATTTAATAAATTTCGACCAAATGACAGGGGCCGATAACTCTTTGTGAGGAAGGTCCTCTTTGGCATAGCTCTTTGTAACTTCAGCTTCACCTGACATTTCATTGTTTATATGCACTGACTAGACACTATTAATGAAGCTAGTTTTCAATCTCTTCTAGAATAACTAGATGTCGATGAAGCCACTTTTCGAGCTTCACCAGCTTTGGCTTCTCGTATCTGCTGTAGCATTAATCCAAAGCTGCATAAGCTGTGTCAAAGAGGACCTAAATTCACTTCACTCTAGCTGGCTCATCAGCGGAGTTGTGGGTAATTTGTGAAAAAAAATTGATGTCCCCGTTGGTTAGCATAGTCAATACTCTGCTTCAAACCGTAAGCCGTTTTAGTTTTCATTTTAGTCAGACTTATCTAATAAATTTGTAGAAATATATTAACATCTATAATATCAAATAAATAAAAAAGGACGTATCCAGTGTAAAGAGCTCCCACTCTGTGCGGGGTCTGGAAAAGGGTACCCTCGCCTGTGCAATGCGAGGAGACCACGACTCGAATCCGGGACCTTCCGTTCACAGGCGGTAAGACTCTACCGCTTGCACTAGGTCCGCCCTTCTATAATATCAAATAAATACAGCAACAACATAGCCTTTCAGTCCCAAGCAAATTGGGGTAGGCTAGAGTTGAAACCCACCAAGAGCCCCAAGTCACGGTTCAGGCACTTCAAGACTGTTACAAATTTGCAGTTCATTCTTGATAATAAACCACAGTACTCCATCAGTTTTGATAAACAATAGGAAAAAAAAAAGGTTCCAGCCAGCAGGCATCAACAACAGCAAGAGAACAATGCTCCATGGCGCCACCAGGATGTGTCTAGGCGTCCAGCTAACCAACTTACCATTATCAAGATGCACTAGCAGTAGTGCTATCCTTAGAAATGGCCAGGGCACCAATTTCTACAATAAGTGATTATGTTTTAGTTAGTACTTAGTGTAGTCATGTTACTGCAATAAGCTATCCAGATAAACAATAGAAATGATAACAACTTAGGCTTAGCATTAAAAATTACCTTCCTCAAGCTTGGCCAATGCTTCTGTGTCCTCTTCAACACTGATGTAGTTGTTTCCACGAAGCCAATCATTTGTACAAACGAGCCGCTCAACCATTGTTGGTGTGAGTGATGTCCTAAAATCATCAAGTGTTCTTCCACCTGAATTGAAAGCTGACTCAGAGGCTACTCTTGAGATAGGAATTGCCAGAAGATCACGGGCCATACGAGACATTATGGGAAATCTAGTAACATTGTTCTTCCACCATTTCATAATGTCAAAACTTTTACTAAGCTCCTCATTATCTTCTGAAAGGTACTTGTCTAGTTCAGACTTCATAGTGGTATTGGCACTCCCCTTATTGCTCATCTGTTGTGCAATTATGGAGCTCATCAATCCAGAACAAAATTCTGGTGTTTCTTGAGTTTCAGCAGGCACCTTGTCACTTGGAGATGGAGCATACAGTTCTCTGTACTCCTCAAACAAAGCACAAAAATAAGTGTTGACTGCTACCAACAGTTTCTGACCTATTTCATCGCCAAACATTTACCATAGTTGCCATCTTGACATAGTTAGAAAGTTTAAACCGAGGATCAATACCAACACAGAAAAAAATAACAATGTTAAGCAATTGATCCCCCTTGTCTTTCTCTCCTCTCTTCTCTCTATCCCTCGGCCTTTCCCCATCCTTCTCTCCCCAATATTTGTAATACTTCACTAACATTTTCTGGCCCATTTCCTTACATAATGTGTCTTCATTGTGACACCATTGTCTCAGCAGAACCAAAACATCAGCAATCTTATGAAAGTATGTGTGAGATGTTGGGCGACTTGTGGCAGAGACACGGAGGGTCAGCTCATAGAAGTATTTAAGAAATTGAGCCATTTCCTTGCCTTTTCCCAATCTGATTTGATTGGAACTCCTGGTGCTTTCTCACTCTCTAACTCTAGACTATAGTATGTGTCTTCATCACTATACCTTTCAAAGGCCTTTTCATACTCTTGTGCAGTTTGTAGCATCAGGTAAGTTGAGTTCCACCTAGTGCAGACATCTAGGTTGAAAAATGCTTTGGTCTGAACCTTTGCTAACTCGGCACATTTCTTGAACTTTACCAACCTAGATGGTCCACTCCTAACATACTTAACAGCAGCCCGAACACGAGCGATTGATCTATCAAATTATTTCAGCCCATCACCTACTATCAGGTTGATAATATGTGCAAAACACCTCAGATGAAGGTATTCTCCTTTAGCAACGCAGCCTTTTGATTCATTCAGGACCCTTCACGCTTGCAACCAGTCCATCAAGCCAAGTCTTGTCTTGATCTTCTCCACCTTGATCACATGACTCAATGTCATGTCTCATGTGCAATAAGCTCCTTCATCATCACATGTGTGAGCTTTGCAACATCTGCAAGCCATTTTCACCTTCATGGCATATGTTGCTCACACACATGTACCTGTGGACTAATCACCTGTGTATCTCACATAAACACAATTGTCTGGACGTAAAATCGGCCTTCCGCAACGGCGAGCTGGCAGAGACAGTCTTCGTCAGGCAACCTCCGGGTTTCGCCGTCAAGGGAGCGGAGCACAGGGTGCTCCGACTGCGCAAGGCGCTCTACCGGCTGCGGCAAACCCCATGAGCGTGGAACACCAAGCTTGACGCCACGCTGGGCGAGCTTGGGTTCACGCGGTGCGCAACCGAGCACGCGCTCTACACGCGGCGACGGGGGAAGGAGGAGCTCGTCAGTGGCGTGTATGTGGACGACTTGATCGTCACTTGCGCGCGTGCGGAGGACATCGACAGCTTCAAGCGCAAGATGGCAGCTTGTTTTCGAATGAGCGATCTCGGCGCGCTCTCCTACTACCTCGGCATCGAGGTGAGACAGGGGAAGGAGGCGCTCACGCTCGGTCAGAGCGCGTACGCCTCGAAGTTGTTGGAGCGGAGCGGCATGGCTGAGTGCAAGCCGTGCGTGACTCTGATGGAGGAGCGGCTGAAGCTGACGAAGACCAGTACCGCAGCGAAGGTAGATGCAACACTCTACCGGAGCATCGTCTGCGCTACCTAGTCCACATGAGGCCGGACATTGCGTTCGCCGTGGGCTACATCAGCCGTTTCATGGAGGATCCTCGAGAGGATCACTGGGCTGCAGTGAAGCGGCTGCTGCGCTACATCAAGGGGACGGTGGATCAGGGGATCGTTTTCCCCAAGACCGGCGGAAGAAGGTTGTAGCTCACTGTGTTCAGCGATGCAGACATGGCGCGAGACATCGACGGACGGTGGAGCACATCTGGTGTGCTCGTCTTCCTCGGGTCGGCTCCAATCTCATGGCTGTCGCTGAAACAGAAGGTGGTGGCGTTGTCCACGTGCGAGGCAGAGTACGTGGCGGCGGCCACAGCGACGTGCCAAGCTGTATGGCTGCGCCGGCTGCTGGGCGAGCTGACCGGTGTGGAAGCTCACCCACCAGCACTGATGGTGGACAACCAGCCTGCCATCGCCCTCGCGAAGAATCCGGTTCTCCACGACCAGATCAAGCACATCGACGTCAAGTTCCACTTCCTCAGGGACTGTGTCGATGGAGGGCAGATCGTCATCGAGTTCGTTGAAACTGGTCGGCAACTTGCGGACGTCCTCACCAAGCCGCTTGGCCGTATTCGACTCACGGAGCTGAAGAAGATGATCGGCATTGAGGGGGTTCTAGGGTTAGCAGTAGGATTAGGAGAAGAATTGTTAAGTAATCTGCTGCTCCCTTGTGTGAACGCACGACAGCGACAAGCGGCGCCGAAAAGAGCTCCCTGTTGTTGCACTGTAGCAGCTGCAGGGGCAGGCGTCGAATGGCTCTCCTGTCGCACTGTAGCCACAGCAGGGGCAGACGCCAAAGTCAGCCCTGATGTCACATCTAGTCACTATAGCAGCATGGTAGCTTGACATGTCTGTGTACTAGCATTAGATGGGTAGAGTTGCATATATAGTTTGCCACTGCAACTCAGTAAAGAGAGCGAGTTCAGTTTGCCATCTCATCTGCAAAGCTCCGGCCAATGCTGGTGCTTGTACTATGTGTGTGCTCTATTTTCCCTCCCTTCTTCTACTCTAGCCATAGTGTGTGATCGGCAACGATAGTGCGTGGTCGGCAACGCAGGGGAGAGGTCGACTCACCTGTGCCGGAGATCCAGTGGGCTAACACTCCCTTCATTCCAAATTATAAGTTATTCTAGCTTTTTAGATACATAACTTTTGTTACACACCTAGATATATATTATGTCTAGATACATAATAAAAACTATTTATCTAGAAAAGCCGGAACTACTTACGATTTGGAACGGAGGGAGTACGTTACAAGGCAGGGTGCATAACTGCATATAGCTACAAAAGGTGCATACAGCTACATTGGTTACAAATGGGCATGCAAACATTTCACTTCACAGATTTCTACACCTTTTCAGTGCAACATAGAGACATTCATGGTACTTGAATTAGTTACCTGTTGGAATAAAACAAGTACTGCGTACATTAGGTTGAGCTAACATCACTGAATTTTGCCGTTACCCTCCTCAAATATACATCACATATTTAATGCTCTCAATAGGATCTGGTGGAGCTTGAATGCAAGTTTTGGGCTAACAAAGGCAAGAACGTGAGATACGAGGTGAGGAACAATCGGAAAGGTTACAAGGCGGGTGCGCTGAAACAAGGGATGCTCTATGAGTACGTTCAACAGTGTGATTTTGTCGCTGTGTTTGATGCTGATTTCCAACCAGAACCTGACTTCCTCATGAGGACCGTCCCATATCTTGTTCATAATCCACAAATTGGTCTTGTTCAAGCGCGGTGGGAATTTGGTAAGCATGAAAACGCTCAACTCCCTGGTCATGAGTTCCTTTGATTAGGGCATGCTTTGTGGCTGTCATGCTGCTACACTTATTTTAAGATCTGATCTGATATAAGAATGCAGTTTTCGAAGAATTTCTCGTAAGGTTGGCAAAATAAATTGTAGATTTGTAGTTTATTAAATCTTGCCTCCAACAGTCGTGTCCTTTGTAAACTGGTTTGAGACAAATAGCTAATCAGCTACCAAAATATTTGAAAACGGAACCACAAAATGAAATTATAATCTTTAGCAATGCAGTGGCTACTGAACATGCCTTTTTCTACCTTTTGGATATAACAGTTAGCCGAAAGAATCCTTTTTCAAGCTGTTAGATTTTGTTTAATTGAATTAGCAATAATTCTTATCGTGTAGTATATTGCACCAAAAGTCCAAAACAACTAATAATTGCCGCTTAGTATGTCCTTGGTCGACCATGCTGTTGTATTTATTTGCCTAGTTTTAGCAGTCAGCATAAGTACATATATAATTGACAGGTAGCTTATCACCACTATTACACCTATGGTTACAGTTACAGCACGGGAAAAAAAAACATGCTGATTAAAACAGAAGTTTTGTCTCTTTTATGTGCAGAGTAGCCTTATCTGTCTGATGCATCTCTTGTTACAATTGACAGGAACTTGCTGACTGGCATTTCGGGACGGTTTTGCAGTTAATCCCAATGAAGTCCTGATGACAAGGATACAAAAGATGACATTAGATTATCACTTCAAAGTAGAGCAGGAAGCAGGTTCATCCATCTTTGGCTTCTTTGGTTTTAACGGTATAACAGAAAATTCTCTGTGCCAGAATTCAATATTAGTCATTTTGTGGGACTAACCTATTTAAGTTCAGGAACTGCTGGTGTCTGGAGAATTTCTTCTATCAAGGAAGCCGGGGGCTGGGAGGATCGAACCACCGTGGAAGACATGGATTTAGCAGTCAGAGCAGCTCTGAAAGGATGGAAATTCATCTACGTTGGGGATGTTAAGGTAAGAAATAGTACTAGTATAATGTACTCATAGGATTCAGTTTTCTAGTTTAGTTACACTATTTTTTCTGCAATTCTACTTTAAAATTGACCTTACAATATACAATAGAGGGGGGTGGGGGGTGAATATAGTCAGGATATAGCATGATAAAATGGTGAATATAATTACTGTACATATATTGTACTGAAGAGATGTCAAAGCTATCTCAACATTTTTTCCCTTATGATATGTAGTCCTACAGCCAGTAGTCATATTTATAATGTGATGTGAACTTATTATTGTTGGAATCATAGGTAAAAAGTGAACTGCCAAGCAATCTGAAGGCATATCGCCGGCAACAACATCGGTGGACATGTGGGGCAGCAAATTTATTCCGGAAGACGGGAGCGGAAATTATTCTGACTAAGGTAATTTTTCGCTACAATCTATGTGTTTAGAGATAAAGTGGTTTCTTCTCTAGTAAGAATCAGTATCAATTCCTCCAGAAAAAAAGAGGAAAAACATGAGTATCAATTGTAGAGCCTCTCATGATTTGACCATACCATTTCAGCGTTGTTGTTTGTTTCTTTTGCAATATCTATCTGATGTCCTCTAAATCTTGAAGCAGGAGGTGTCGCTTTGGAGGAAGCTCTATTTGATCTACAGCTTCTTTTTCATTAGGAAGGTTGTTGCCCATGTGGTACCTTTCATGCTCTACTGTGTAGTAATTCCTTTGTCTGTCCTAATTCCTGAGGTCACTGTTCCTGTATGGGGGGTGGTTTATATCCCAACAACGATAACGCTCCTTTACGCCATCAGAAGTCCAAGGTTTGTATCTTCAAAAACTCTGGCATTAAATAGGCTGTCAAAAATGTTTCTAACAACTGTTTTGCTTTCAGTTCTATCCATTTCATACCATTCTGGATCCTTTTTGAGAATGTGATGTCTTTTCACCGAACAAAGGCGACATTCATCGGTTTGCTCGAGCTTGGGAGTGTAAACGAGTGGGTTGTCACAGAGAAGCTTGGTAATTCAAACGGCACCAAGTCCGAGCCACAAATACTTGAAAAGCCTCGCTGCAGGTTTTGGGACAGGTAGCCTGCTGGACGTTTTATTTATTGTTCCTGAGAAATTTCATCAACTAGTTTAAGTTCGAGCTGACTCTAATTTGTCCACCTGTTTCCATGCTCCTTGCAGATGCACCATATCAGAGATTTTAGTTGCCATCTTCCTCTTCTTCTGTGCCACATACAACTTGGTTTTAGGAGACGACTTCTATTTCGTTTACATATATTTACAGGCAATAACATTTCTTATTGCTGGCACCGGTTTCTGCGGAACATCCAGCTCCAACTCATAACGGTACATAACAGCTAGGACTGATCCAACAGAAAAATTGTTCAAGTTAGGCCATGAACTTTGATCACCACCTCATAGGTTGCTTCACTCCTACAGCGCAGGGATATAGTAACACCAATTTATGTTACTATAGGTTGAAAAAAATGTTACTAGCTCTCTTAGTAACACATTTTGTTTTGCGTTTCAATTGGCCATGTTACTATAGACTGGTTTATTGTAACATATTTATTTGTCTACAGGAACATTTGTCTAGTGTTACAATAATTTTGGTTGTAACACTTTTTTTCTCTAGTAACACTTCACATTATGGTAGAATGCATAGTTTGTAACACATTTATTTATCTATCGAAACATTGGGCTAGTGCTAAAGTGATTGTCTGCTGTAACACTTTTTTTAGTTCTAGTAACACTTCTACATTATAGTAAAACAAAGTATGGAACAAAGAAACGCATGGTTTGTAACACTTGTTTATATCTATTGTAACATTTAGATTATAAAATAAATATTTATTTCGCCTATACATTTGGCACACGAATTATTATATAATCACACAAACATGATACATTGCAAAATCACATAAAGCACAAATTTCAATAATCATAGCAAGATCCACATATCGTAGGATTATTTCAAACATAGTGCTTGTTCAGATTAAATCATAGTATATGTACATAACAATATGGCTCTAGAGAGCAAACACACATAGTCCATACTAGAAAGAAAAAATCAAGAACTAGCTAGGATTCATAAAGTCCATTGCTTCTTCTTCTATTCTTCGTATACATCGATGTAGGAATTCAACCATTAATCATTTCAGCCTGCAAAGAAAATATAAGTCGTAAGATTACAAATTAGGCCACATATGTACATTGATGTAAAGTTAAGAAAGCTAGTTTGAACATACAAACATCGAAGGCCAAGCAATTGAGACTCGTTTAACTTGAGCATCACCAATATTGTTGCACCCAAGCATGGGCCTCACTAATGGCTCATCTTTCTTGCTATAGGATGATTGATACGCACTTTGTAGAATTGACTTGCTGTCTTAACTCCACCAACAATGGCTTCTGGATCAGTGCTCAAGAGAGTTGCATAAGCCACATTAGCCTTATAAGGATATTTTGAAGCCATTAGTGGCACCATGGACCCAACCTACTTTAATTTGACATAATCTCTTAGTGAGCAACAACTCTTAGTTGTACATTATGATCATTCAAAAAAAGGTAAGATCCTAGAGCTTAAATAATGGCATAATATATGAGGAGGAGGTCCTGTACTAATTTCCCAACTTGTCGATTCAAATCTTCCATATTTACTTTAGCAGTTCAAAAACACCTAACTGCATGAAACACATCAATAAGATCAGATACATGAATGAAATACTCTTTAATCCGCGAGCTATTTATAGTAAGCAAATGACATACAGAAATTTCACTTTGAAGTAATTCAGTTTATTCAAACAGTAACTGATCTTTCCTTCGTCCTCATGGGCACTTGGGAACTTAGGTTGCCACATTTACATTTTAGAGAAGCAAAATACATGGATGTCTAGGTGCAGAGCACATATCAAACAAACAAATCAAAGTAGGAGGAATATGTGTGATACCTGAGGCACCTTGGCCTAGTAGAGCAATTTCTTGCCAGGGCGCTAAAAAAAAGGTGCCTTGGCCTTGTAGGCTTGTATGCGGGAACAAGCCAGGCCTGATTGTCCACAATGGCCAGGGTGGAGAATGTTGCTCGCTTGTATGCACCACCGAGGTAAGCACTTATATGCTTGAGTAGATGGAAAGCATCCATTCAAATGTATGAGGAGGAGGTCCATATCAGCTGAACATATATTACAATTGTAATCTGTTTAACCACATGAAAGAACAATACAATTTTGTAATGAAGATTATATAGAGTGAGATGATATTATGTATGATTCTAAAATATTTAGAAAACAAATAATAAGAAAACCATTAGTTAAGTAAAAAAAAAGGCATTACAGGAAGCCTTACGGTCATATAAAAAATTGAGAGGCATCCAATTAGCAGAGGCTGATCTCACGGATCGAGAGCAGGAACCAAATTAGTGGAAGCCCATCTCCTAGGTAGATATCCATAAACCACGAATAATTGAATCAAGCTAAATGGATAATCCCACATGAACATGGAGGCAACAGAGGACACAGATCTGAAGCTGTAAACATGGATGAGCAAGACCAATGATGAGCAATGAAAAATGAGAAAACTGGAGAAATAGAGCAGCCCATTTCATTGATAGCCTGACAGCCAGAAGGTCCTCTCCAATGACAATAGATGAGACTACAGTGGCAAGAATACCAAATCAAGCCGATTCGCTAACAGATTTATGCCAATGGATATAGCCAAATAGCTGGAAAAAAAGATATAATAAGCCAGATAGGTTTCGTCAGTTTTGTTATGTGTGGAAAAAATACCATTTGGTTTAGCCCAGTCTTGACTTCTTGATCAATATTAGACATTTATAAACTCTAGTTCTAATTTATACACTACCAACAAGCATGCCCCTATTAGGAATGGCTACCTGCAGGCCAAGGAACTGGAACCGGTTTCTGTTTTGAAATCCTTGTAACAAGGGATTTTTCATGTAACTGATATTTGCAGAAACAAGTGCTGCATGCACACAACATGATAGTATAAATTTAATCAATTTCCCATAAATTATTTCTATTTTCATTAACTCTAGATGACTAGACCCGATGTATTTGAAAATAGATACATGATCCACACGAGAGCTCACAACATCAAATTGTATTCATTTCTTATTTGGAACAACAAAAATTATAGTAGTCTTCCTCGTATAGTGTCCTGAAACATTAGAAGAAATTGGTCATTAAGATGAACTGAAAAGGAAGGATATGCAAACAGTACATTTCGAAGAATAAGTGATGTATACTTATGAAAAATAAGATCTTCTGAATTTTCATAAGGATAAACGGACACCAACGGAAGGCTTTACAATAATGGGGATGTGTTGTTCATCGTTCTTTGTTGTTCTCTTGTGAATTATTAAGGCAAATTTGATGAACTTTGATTTCAACAGACCAAGAGAAAATATAATCATAGCCCAATTAGTTAAGTTTCAAGTAGGAATTGTCAAAGTATCTCATATCCATTTGTAGTTATTAGAATATTAAATTGTTTCCTCATAGTTGAGATGAAACAAACGGTTTGAATTATGTAATTCATAGCTTTTATGTATTTCCAACATTCTGTCTCAGATATTGAAGTACCACATAACTGATGCAGTGATAGTATTTCTTGCTTTTTAGTGAATTAATGGACTTAAGTGCTATTAAGAGGTTGTACAAGTTCTTCTCATATTTATTGAATTTATTGAATTTTTACTATAATGACAATTTATATCTTTGAACTTTATTGGGGTGGTCAATGGTATGATTGTAACAATATATGTTGTACCTGTATGATGTGATAATGAAAATGTATAAAGAAACCAACAATTGTAGGTGATCTCACGGTTAACCATGTTTTTTTTTCTAATTCTGAGTGGGCATATGACTGGACAAGAGAGACATTGGAGGCAATTTGCTCATGTTGTGACTCTAGTTCACTTTTGGTCAACAGCTGCATATACATTAACATAGTATTCATAATCAGTCAGGCATGACATATATTGAATTTGTCTTAATTTTAGAAACTTTATTATTGTTTTCCCGATTAATATATTGAAACATTCTTAGACAATTCCTTTTTCTAGAATTGCAGGTTACTAATGTGATGTGGCATCCCTAATCACCTTGTTCAAGCCTAAAGTATGATAGATGCATGGTCGTGAAGTTGGAGAGCATACATTTTTCTTTTATTGTCGAACCCTTCAAGAATTCACATTCTATATGTAAATGTCATAGACCATGGTTCATGATATTATGAATATTACCACAAAACATGTTGAAGGCTGTTTTCGATTTTTCTATTTCATTTGTGATGGCACTTGTTTCATATTGCCTCAAATATCATTTAAAGCCCAGACTGAAATGCATTCTTTTGTGGCCTTTCTATGCATTTTATAACATTGAGACTAATTTTTTTGGGTGATTACTTATTTGATTTAACTTTTTGTGGTGGCCATACGTGACTATTTTTGAATAGCTTTTTCTTAAACTCAAAACCACAAAAACGTTTGCACTAAGGTTTTGAGCATAGAAAACAATATTATATGACAATGTGTTGTAAATTTCACTGGTGTTTATGTGAACCAAAAAGATGAAAATCTTGATCAACCTATACAGCGGTAGGTAGGTTCGTGCAACAACATAAAAATATCAATATTAATCCCATTTATTTTCACCTTTTTGTTTTTTGTTTTTCATTTTTTTTCTTCTCCGTTGTACTTGTTCTTATGATCTGGCATCTAGAGTGTCTTGAGCTCGGCCTAATAAATTGACAATTGGCTCTGGCATCGAATTAACCTTTTTAATTGCTTACTCATTGCTACTTGGTTCTCATGTGATGATCACGACATGGCCCCATTCGGCTTACCTTATATCCGGCTTATTCGGCTTCTTTTTTCAGGCGGAACAGTGTTTTTCTCTCATAACATTTCAGCCAAGTTTCAGCAAGCCGAACGGGGCCCATTGCCTAATAGCCATGACAACACCTAGATGCGATGCCCATGTCGCCTATGAATAGGAAGGTCCACATGTGTATGTTTCTTTGTAATATTTGAACTATAACATTATTTTGTGTTGCTATATGGCATATATTTGTAACACATTTTATATGTTCCATTTATGTGTTACAACATAGTACACTTTTGTAACATTTTGCTTGTAACATTAATTTTTGTGTTACTATAATTATTGTCAGTAACACATTTTTATAAAAAAATATTTTATGTTACAACCGAAGTCTGTAACACACTATTTCGTGTTAGTATAAAATTTCACTGGAACACATTGATGAATATGTTACAAGAAAGTGCTATAATATCCTTGTTTTGTAGTAGTGGCTTCTACA